GGCCGCCACGCCCCCTCGCCCCGCCCCGCTCTCGGGAGTTGCTTGTAGAAGTTGGGGCGGGCGCCGAGGGACCCGGCTGGCGGGAAGTGGGACGCGGCGTCGGTCCGTCCCCCGCCGGAGGTCTACTCTTAAGGCCTTTCCCCGGAGTTCTCCGGGGTCCGAAGGCTCCTGGCACCCAGCGGGAGCGAGAGAAGGGGGACTGACTCTTCCCGCCCCCTGAAACACACACACATACACACACTCCCTCACTCATTCGCCCGCTCGCTCACACACTCACGCAGGCCCGGGCTAGCCTGGTTTCCCGGGGAAAGGCTCCCAGGACAGCAGGCAGTTTCCGGGAAGCAGCCTGGCTTTCTTGGTCCTGGCGGGGCCTTCCGGTGCACTCGCCCCTGGCGCTCTGGGGCCTGGGTGCAGCCCCGTGACCTCCTCCACCCTTACCGAATCACAAGAAACTTGAAGCCGAGAGTGGGGGAAACCGAGGCTGCCCCGCGGCCCCTTAGGCCAGATGTGTAAGGCCAGCCGCCACTCCTTTCTATGTGACCTTGGGGAAGTCCCCCTGCCCCCACTCCTGGGTGTCCACGGCCCAGTAGAGCGAGAAGCCAGCGCTTGTCTGCTCCAGGACCTGCGACCTTGGAAAGGGTGGTGGAAGCCTAATCCCAGGAGGGGGAGGACAGTGGTTCAGCCTGGAACAAAGGAGCCTGCTGTGTGCCGCCTGGTCCCCCTCCAGTGGACACGCCAGTCCCCCCGCATCACTTCCCCTGGGACATGGGTTCCAAGGGATGACAGGAGTCATTGCCCCTTTCATGCTGACAACACTGAGGCCAACAGGCCTGGTACAGGCAGTGGAAGAGCAGAAAGGGTGGCCCACCAACCCCCTACTCAAGTCTGAGGGGTTGGGAGTCATGCCCCATCCTGCCAAGCTGAAGAGAGATCCCCAGTGGAGGGGGCACATGATGGTTCAAGGGGCTCCTTCCCAGAGGAGCAGAGTCTCAGTGGGTCTGTGGGTCCCCTGGCACATGGGGATGGTCAGGCAAGGGGTTTCTGGGGCTTGGGAGGAAGGGTCAAGGGCTGGAGAATGGCCATGGCCACATGCAGAGAGAGCAAGACTCTCCAGGAGTGTGTGTTCTCACCACGTGTGACAAGCAAGGCAGGAAGGACAGAGTCCGGAGCAGGAGGAAGCTGATTTTGTGTTTGGCTTCTCTGGGCCAGCCCTTCCCCTCTTTGGGTCTCCGTGTCCTCATCTGTACCTGTAGCTGAGGGAGGAGCCGGGCTGGAGCAGGAAGGGACAGGCCCCCTCTGCTTCCTCCCCACGGCCCAGACTTCCTGTTCAGCCTCATCTAGGGAATTGGAAGCCTGGGGGCTGGTCTTCCCTTCACCACCACCCACCCCCAGGCTGGGTGATCTCACCAGCATTGCCAATCCCAGTATTATTATCTGCGAAATGGGGCAAAACCTGCCAAGCCTCTCTCTCCCTCTCTCTCTCTCTCGGATAGGGCCAAGTCATTTGTAATGCCCCAAGTAGTGCCCAAAAGACAACCTCCCCCTGCCCTTGGTCCCCTGCAACATAGCCAAGGGGCCCTGCCCAGTCCCACCACAGATCTGTGCACACCCACGCACACCACTCCCACATCCCCTGCGCACAAGTAAGATCCCACAGCCACGGGGATGTGTGGTGTGCACACAGACCCATCTACTATTGAACACACTCGCAGGACTCCCATGTAGCACATCTCAGGAGGCAGCCCGGTGCATGGACCCATGCAGACCATGTGCCCATCCCCATGGACACAGACTTACATACTGCGCCACAGAACACACACTCAGACCCACAGAGAGGCAAGTGCAGAGTACGCGTGCATTGCTGTGTCCATGAGAGCCCTGGGACACAAGCACATGCTTCTGTACACAGACGTCTCACCAGGCCCGGCCCAGCCCAGCCCCAGAGCTATTCTGGGCCGGGCCTGGGGCCAACAAGGTCAGATATGGCCAGCTCCCAGCAGGCCCCAGCCACTGTGTCACAGGCCTAGGCAGCCCAGTTCCCCACTCCACCCCACCCCACCTCCAGCCCTGGCTAAGTCCAAGATGTCCCGGATCCCAGCCTAGCTCTGCAACTGGGAGGATACCCACTCCCAACCTTCTGCTTCACCAGAGCTGAGCCTTGAGCCCTGGCATTTCTGGCTCCATGAAAGAACTGTCGCAGTTTCCCCTGGCCACTATCAGTTGACTCTGCCCATGGCTTCCAAACCAGAGGCCCAGGAGACTGGACTGGGTCCCTACCAGAAACCCACAGAAGCTAAAAATAGCACACAAAGGACAAACAGGGTTCCGCAGGCCAGCATTCATGCCATCATGCATGGAGGGGGGACACTGTCTTCCAGGGGAGCCTGGCTGGGGAGTCTGAGGAGTCTGAGGGTCTAGAGCATTGCCCCCCCAGATTTGATGGGCCCTACTGGTAGGATAGGGTGCAGGGGGATCTGGGGACCTCATAAGAAATAGAAATACTACTGGACAGGGGGCAGAACCCTGGGTTAAGGGCCACAGACCGAGTTTGAGGCCTCAGTTCCTGTGTGACCTAACACAGGGCACAACCCCTCTCTGGCCTCAATTCCTCATAAGTACAAAGAGGAGAGGAAGAAGAGCCTTCAAAGATGGAAAAGTCTTTAGCTTTCAGGGTGTTTCTCTCACCGTGGTGTTTCACATTTTGGAGAATTGGGAAAAATGCAAATGTTTGACAATAGGGCACTGAATGAGGTGCCGTTGGGTTTTACTACCCTGTAATATCACACTGCACAAAATCCACAATAACCACAACAGTCAGAACAACTAGCATTGCCTGAAGGCTTGTGATGTTCAGGTGCCATGATACTGTCGTTATACCCATTTTACAGATGAGGCAATGAAGCTCAGAGAGGTTAAGTAGCCCACTGAGGTCTCACAGCTGTCAAGATGATCATGCCCCAGGAGTCTTAGTTTTAAGCTTTAATAACTTTAGAAGTTATAAAGTATAAAGCTACAAATCTATAAGAAACACAGTTTGAAAATTTCATTACTTAAATTTTCTTTATGCTACTTTAGTTTTGTGAACTTTGGATAATAACTTCAATTTTTTCAGTCTTCTGCTATCTCTACAGGGCAAAAAAAAAAAAAGGAAATCTTAAATAAATAAATAAATAAATAAATAAATAAACTTCCAAACTGTGTTTCTTATAAATCTGTGGCTTTATACTTCTGAGGTTATAAAAGCTTAAAACTGTCCTGTTTCAGGACACCCTGTTCTTCTAAGTCAGTTTGACTTCAAAGCCTGTGTGCAAGTATTTGACAGAACCTTTGGGAGACATGGGGACCTAGGATTCTCATGTTGGGTAAAAGCCCTGGGTAAAAAGGTATAGCATACAGTGAGATCTCAACTATGTTCAAGAGCCTGCAAAGAAATGGAACCCATGCGGAACAATGGCCATCTCAGGGGACAATAGGAACACACATGATTGTATTCCCTTTCAGATTTCTTCATTGAGCTTGCCCTACTTCTTGGATGGAAAGACTGAACTTTACAGGAAACAATGGCGCCCCACCTCTCCTGGGCTGAGCTGTCCTATGCTCAGCACTCCCATAATCCTTAGTTCAATATAATCCTCCCAACAGCCCCTTGATGAGAGTCTTGTCCTTTCCATTCCACAGATGAGGAATTCAAAGCAGAGAGGAGTAATGGCTTGCCCAAGGCCACTGTCAGGCCCACTAACCTCAGCCCACTCCAGCCAAGCCCTCTCTGACCCTGTGTGTCCCAAGGGTGACCTCCCTGGCTGGTCAGTGTGGCTTTCTCAAGCCTGGCCTATGACAGATGGCCTATGACAGTGGGAGCTTCAGCAAGGGACTTGCGCTTTAGTAGAATTCCTGTTTGCCTGGCTAGGGCAAGCCTGGGGAGCCTGGGGTGGCCCAGCCCACCCAGCCCTCAAACTTGGCCACCTACTGGTGAGGATCCCTTGGGCCAGCTGTCCTTTGCCAGTGGCTCTCCTGTTTTTCTGCCTGCCTTATGTTCTCCCAGACCTGTCCCCTGTGAGTGTCCACAGCTGGCCTTCTGGTCTCTGCTGTCGCTCGCCTTGGTCCTTGCCCATCTGCTGCATCTCTGGGCTCTGAATCTACAGGGTCCCTAGTTCTGAGGTTGGGCCCAATGCCCAAAGCACCTCAGCCTGCTCCACTGTCTATGGTGATGAAGAATGAAGGGGTCCAACAGCTGGGCTGCTTCTCCAGCACTCAGCAGGCAGGAGATAAATAACAATGGAAGGAGGGAGAGAGGGGAAGGCAGGAAGGCAGGAAGGCAGGAAGGCAGGAAGGCAGGAAGGCAGGCAGGCAGGAAGGAAGGAAGGAAGAAAGGAAGGAAGAAAAGGAGGGAGGGAGGAAAGGCGAGAGGAGGAAGGATGGACCAGAGAAGTCTCCCCACCCCAGACCTCCCTCCTCCTCCTCCAGAGCCTTCCTGGTCTCCACAACTCCTCAGATCCTCCCTCCCTCCATCCCTGGGTTGTCAACGCTCATCCTGGGGTGAGGACCAGAGTACATGTGGGCCAGGTTCAGTGTGAGGTCAGGATCATGGCTCAGACTGGAGTGACAATTGGGGCTCAGACTGGGGCAGAGGCTCAGGGTCAGCCAGAGTCAGAAAATGGTCCTCCAGGCTCTCCAGGTGGAGCCTTCCCCGTCCCATGGGGCAGCAGATGTTGGCTTCTTCAGGAACCTTCCATAGTACCCGCAACTAGAGACTCTGACCATACCATCCCCTGGTCCCCATCCCCCGCTCTAGCTCTGGTGTCCAGAGTGACCAGAGCCGTTTCTGGGCAGAAAGCCAGCCCAGAAAGCCCAGGACATCCCTGAGCGCCTGTCCCTATGGCAACCTGCCTGCCAACCCCCTCCCCCCCAACTACCGCCACCAGCCTGGGTCCAGTAGGGTTTTTCAAATTCAGAACGTCAGACTGGGAAGGGCCTCCTAGATCAGCAGATGCAAGCCCCTCCCCTTGCCCCAGATGGAGAAACTGAGGCCCGAGTGGGGTTGGGGGTGGGGGGGTGGGACCTGTTGTGCAAGGACCCGCCCCCAGCCCGTCTTCCCCCTCCCACCCACTCCCACCCCTCGGCCAGGCTGTCGGGTTGGGGGAAGGGGGATCGGGACTCTGATTCCCCGGCAAGGGGGCGGGCCCTCCACCCGCCGGGAGGTGGGGGCGGGCGGCACTGGAACCCGACACCGACGATGAATAAATGATGCCCACTCGCGGCCTGCGACCAGATCGCCACCTAGAGCGCCGGCTGGCGGGGCAGTCACCGGGCCACCCGTGCCCGGCCCCGCGCGGCCGGGTCCCCCCACCT